ATAAACCCATGCTGACTGGGCCTGATCAGGTGGCTCTTCTATATGTGCCGCGTGATGGCACTTAAGATGATCTGCTCCATAACCTTCCCTGGCACCAAGGTCAGACTGACAGGCCTGTAATTCCCTGGATGATCCTCCTTCTCACCCTTCTTGCAGATGGGCGTCACATTTGCTAACCTCCAGTCAACTGGGACCTCCCCATTTAGCCAGGACTGCTGATAAACGATTGAAAGTGGCTTGGTGAGCACTTCCACCAGCTCCCTCAGCACCCTTGGGTGGATCCCATCTGGCCCCATAGACTTGTGTGTGTCCAAGTGGTGTAGCAGGTCGTTGATCACTTCCCCTTGGATTATGGGGCCTTCATTCTGCTCCCCATCCCTGTCTTCCAGCTCAGGGGGCTGGGTACTTGGGGAACAACTGGTCTGACTATTAAAGACTGAGGCAAAGTAGGCATTAAGTACCTCAGCCTCTTCCTCAGCCTTTGTCACTGTGTTTCCCCCTGCATCCAATAAAGGATGAAGATCTCCTTAGCCCTCCTTTTGTTGCTAATGTATTTATAGAAACATTTTTATTATCTAATACTGATATCAGATTAGAAACCTACAGTAATATCGTTATACATTGAATATCCAAAAAAACATGTGCATCAAATGGTATTCCAAATGGGGTTGAAGAACCAAATAGGTACTGAATATCTAGATCTACTTTCGCAGATTTTTTGTTTTTAAAGGGGACAAACAGGGTACTACATAAAGAGCAACAACTTTTCCACAAGAACTCAAAACTGTTGCTGAGATGCTGCCTATTGACCTTTACAATTACACCAAACACACATATAATAGTTTCTCAGGGAAACTACATTTAGAAATAAACATTTTTAAATACTTAAGTTTATACAGTTTTAAACCCCATCTCAGTATGGTGTTTACTGCTATAACACTGCTGTGGTTCACAGGTGGTTCAGCAAAAGGTCCTCAATGGCTACTTTACTACAGCATAGTTGCTGGATTTAGCTATCTCTTGAGTTTCCAAAGAAAAATACAAGCAATATTAATTATGTTTTTACCAGTAACTCCAGAAGAAACTCCTTGTCATAGCTGGAGTCTTGCCCTTCGGGCAGGGGCGGCAGGAGGCAGAGGTATGACGCCACTTGGTGGAGAGTATTTGAGCTGCATAGAAGAAAAAAACAGAAGCTTGCGTAACTTGCACAGAAACCGGAGGGAGAGAGAGCACTTACCACAGGTTTTTTTTCTTAAAAAAATTTCAACTACGAATTTCATCAGAGACCAACAACTACTGATCAGTATTCTAAGTGAAGTTTGAGATATTTAAAGTATTTCTTTTTGCAATTGTTACAAACTGCTTTAGAGCACTCGCATGGGTGAAGCGTGCTCAGCCACAGATGTAAGCTGTACTACTCATCCACAATAAATGGAGCAAGGTGTGAATACTTTTTATTGTTTCAACGTGTACCTGCAAACAGAACCAAACAACAGAGCACAAATTGCCTTTGTCAAAATAGACTGTTATCCTTTTAAAAACAGCATTTACAATACAGTACAGTTAACACAGTGGTATACTTGTATGATTTCTGTTGCAGTTTTTGTACAGAACAGAGTAAAAAAAGCTAAATTAAAAAAGTTAGAGGTTAACTACTGTACGTTATTACTGCTCCAATTACTTTAAGCAGTTAGTTATTTTCCAGAAAATTAGTACTTTCTGACATTCATTAGAGAAAAAGGAAAACAAAGATATTTTTCTTACATTGGAATTCTAGCACTTCACTACTAGGGGACCCAAACTCTCCCTGCTTCCTTATTTCATCAGTTGTAAAGGCACCATGACAAGTCAGAAAGACTTGAGAAGTCACATGAAAAGTCAGAAAGAAAAAAGGCTAGAAATTTGCTAAATGAAAACACACTGAGAACAAAGAATTTCAATTTCATGTTGAATTTGATTTTCATAACTTACCTAAGGGGGCCAAATAACTTCACCAGTGAATCACGAGTATCTACTGCAGCTACATTTGAGAGTGCAAAGTCATATAACTCCGGGAAATGTGCAAATGCTGCTCTCTACAAAAGACCCATGCCCAAAAACAGAATGTAAGCATATTAATGAAACAATTTAATAACAATCTAAATATTTATACAAAAGCATAGCTGCTTCTGATTCGTCACACGCAGTACCCTGTGGACACTAGCAGGACAGAAATAAAAACCAGGTGAAATCTGTTTTTCTTAGTTAGCACCACCTATTTGTTACTCCTATGCTTCCAACAATACCTTTTTTATATACCCTCCTATCAGCATTTGTTCTGTCATTAAAATAAAACATAAGGGGGCAGACATGTAGCCCTGCAGACAATTAGCAAAAACAAGGAACAAGTTTAATTTAATCATGCTTCCTTGAATTTTTTTATTAAAACTGATGGGAAAAATTCTAAAATGTGTATTTATCACTTTATACAAGTGATGTGAATTTTTATTTTGTCTCTTATGTACAATGGACCACTATTGCTACCACATGTGTATGCTGTCCTGGTTTCGGTTGGGATAGTCAATTTTCTACTTAGTAACTGGTACAGTGTGTTTTGAATTTAGTGTGAGAATAATGTTCATAACACACTCATGTTTCAGTTGTTGCTAATTAGCGCTTATCCTAAGTCAAGGATTTTTCAGTTTCCCATGCTCTACCAGTAAGCAGGTGCACAAGAAGCCGGGAGGGAGCACAGCCAGGACAGCTGACCTCAACTAGCCAAAGGGATATTCCATACCATAGAGCGTCATGCTCAGTATATAAACTGGCGGGAGTTGGCTGGGAGGGGCTGATCACTGCTCAGCGATCGCTGCTTGGGCATCAGGCAGCAGGTGGTGAGCAACTGTATTGTGCATCACTTGTCTTTCTTGGGTTTTATTCTTCTGTTATATTCCTTTTCATTACAATTATTATATTTATTATTGTTGTGGTTAGTATTATATTTTAGCTTACTTTAGTTATTAAACTGTTCTTATCTCAACCCACAAGTTTTTACTTTTTTTCCAATTCTCCCCATTCCTGGGAAGGGGAGAGGAGTGAGTTAGCAGCTCTGTGGTGCTTAGGTGCGGGCTGAGGTTAAACCGTGACAGTACTGATCTTGAAGAAATGGTGCCACCTACTGCATAATCATAAGTTAAGTTCCTACAGCACTTAATTTTCCCTTCTTAATAGGTTTAATGGGAGCAGTTCATCTCAAAAATATCAAATCAAAAGTGGTGGTGTTTTGCTAGAACATATTATTTAGTCATAGTCACATATACAACACTGAAGCATTAGGTGTCTTCAACATGGTACAGAAAGTCAAGTTAAAACTATTCCTGTAACTCAAAAGGAAAAACAAGGGGTTTGCTTTGGGAAATAACTTAATGTCTATTCCAGACACAATTTAGACTAAACCAACAAAACCAAATCCTTTCCCTCCCATAAGCACTTTGCCATCTGCCTACCTGTAGAGAGGTAATTCTGTCATAGTGAATTGTTGTCATCTCATTCTCTGTCAAAGCATTTCCAGTCTGATTATTGATTTCAAAGCCAGTGTAGAATTTAAGCATATCTAAAAGCTGAGACATCAGTATAAATTAGTGGATTAACAATAAGAGACACCCTACCACAAAAAAAACCCCACACAATTTAAGAGGACAAATCTGGGCACCATGTACAAACAGGAGGTCCTCAAAGTTCTTGAAGAAATGGACTAGAGAGTGGTACCTAAATTTTATACTTGGCTGATGCACAAAATAATTTTGGTCAGATATCTCACCTACAAGCCATTGAAATTACAGCACAGCCCACCACCAATGCAGTTTTTTTACATACTAGGACTTGAAACTGAAACTAACTGCACTAGCCGGAGGTTCAAGACACTGAACCCAACTTATGGTTTGCTTCTACCAAAAGGGGGAGGTCTTGCTCCCTCCTGCCCTCTCTGATGCCCCCTCTGGAATTCATTCTATCTTTCAATGAGATTACTTAACTAGGAAGAAGAAAATTATTGAGACGTGCTGCTAACTTTGTGTTCCATCAACACTGATCCTCAGAGAAACTGAACAAACGCCAGAGACAGGGGACAGGAAGAACAGCTGAGATGCAGGAAAGGGGACACATCTTCAGATCCTGCCAGAAAAAACAATATACTCTCTCTGACTGAGTAAACTGAAGGACAGTAGTGAAAAATGGCTGCACTGTAGAACAGTCTGAGGTCAAAACAAAGCACAGAAGAATGCGCTGGTGACAACTTCTGCTATACGTGGGGTAAAGCATGCCAGACGCTGCACCGTTTTCTAGGCTGTACTTTAAAGAACTGTTCAAAAATGTAAGTCACACACATAGGTACAGGTAAGAAAGAACTACTGTCTGAAGGATTTAAATAAACACGTAGTTTGCATCCATCAGAAAAATGTCTTAAAGAAATATAATATAAAACAAAACAACGGAAGTATGCAGAGCCGCATCAGAACGAAAAAATTATTTTCAACAACTTTGTACCTCACCTGGCAGAAGAGATGACCCTCCTTCTCTCTTTTAGCAAGACTGGACAGGTAACAGTGAACAACAAGATGGGAGTCATCTAACACTGTATTAAACCAGCGCCGTGTGGGAAGCAAAGCCTGTGGTAAACAACCTCACCTTAATACAAGCAATTCTTCAGAATGTAAGAAATCCTGGTTTCTCATAATTTTCCATTTCAAGAAGGCATACCAAGATCAATTGTTGCACAGTTATTTACATATCTAATACCCTAACAGAGGTTCTCATATCAAAGCAGCCTTTATGTTTACCAAGACATTGGTTTTATGCAGGTAGGTGGCTACAAATACAGCCTTTTATATGACTGGGAGCACAGCACAAACCTTCCGTTAGTGAGATTGCATCCTGCCAATAATAAAAGACAATTAAATAACGCAATTGTTGTACTACTAAGTGTCTACATAACAACTGTGTGCTACAAAAGGTATGTCAAACTGCTGCAACATTGTATAAAATGTTTGGTTTCTATGCTTATTTCATTAATTTTAAGCTTGTCTTTCTCAAGATCGCAAACTGTCTTTCTTCTAAATGGTATGATATCTTCTATTCTTGGTAGGACACACAAATTAAGTCTAAGAATTTTTCACATCTTAATTAAAACCTGTAAAAGCTTTTTGTAAACAAAACAGAGATCATTTCTTCTCTATGTAAAAAGCTTAAGCTGCCATATGTAGCAACCCTTCAACAGCATACAGTAGTACACATCAATAATTCAAGAGAAAAATTAGTTGTTCTCAATGGAATCTACAGACTGAATTCAGACAGCCAAAAAGCATCAACATGGTGTTTAGAACGAAGATGAAGAAAATAAAAGAATCTGTAGTAGAAAAATGTTAATTGCCCTGCAAAATAATTACAAAAAACACTCAGAAAACTGTAAGAACTTTCCATGAGGTCATTCCTTTCAAATTATCAAATCACCAAGTTTTGATGGCAGTCTATATACTGTAATATGAAACAGTAATATTCTGAAAAAGGCCTTGACATACGTAAAAAAGCCCATTAACACAGTACATGCTACCAAGACAAAAACACTTGGATTTACGGCTAATTTCTCATTTGCTTGTCCAGTCATTTAAACAGGCTTCATAAACTGTTTGAATTCTAACATCTCTGTAGTACCTAGCGAGAACCAACATTAAATGTACAGCCTTTAAGCATTCTGGCTAACAGTCAGACTTAAGATTAACTTCAAACACCTATTTTCCTCTTATGAGACTACATTACATCCATAACACAACAAGCTCTAATTTAAAGAATTCATTCTATTGCAACTACAAGCACAAGCTACTTGAGCAATTTAGCAGAGGACAGTTAGTCTGTATGAGTTCAAGATCAAGCCACTTTAAAGTTCTCTATGCTTATTGTTTCAGAAAAGTCTGTCTTATTTCAGAATGTCTTCTAAATCTGAAGTTATTTTAAATAAATTGCTACTTATGTGAGAAATCGTAAATTAATGTATTTTAATTTGGTACTGTGAAGTTTAAAATTGTCCCACCTTGTCAGTACCTGATGAAAAATTTCACAAAACCTCGCTTTGTCTCCTATTACTCTGTAACAAACCTAGATCACCAGAACTGTTACTGCTAAATAACTAATTCTAGTCAAATAGAAATAGTTTGCATTTCACAACTACTGACACGTTCTGCGATTATACCCTACAACATAAGATGATTTAAGTGACCTATTACGAATTGGGAAGAATACTTCTGGGTTATTCCTAGTGGATTAAAGTGTCACACATTTTCATCAATTGCCAGAATTATTACTACTACTCCAATTAACAAAGTCTTCTTCACTGAGCAATTTAGGATCCTAGCTTTCTCTAACAGTTCATCTGGTTTATAAACATTACTCATCAGTTCCCAATGTGGATGCACTGCTGCAGTCCCCTATTTACATACAGAAAACCACTATTAAGCAATCATATGCACAACTGTGACATAACCACCTGCCAATTGGAATAAGGCTGTAATAATGACTTTACGCATTTAAAACCTAGAAAAGCACACCTGGAAACAGGCCGAAACAATTTAATAACTTACCTCAAGATCTAGCATGAGTTCAATGAATCTCTCACAATAATGAACTTTGTCCATAGAAATAGGACCTAGACAGAAAAAAAAAATTTTTTTTGCAATTGATCCACACCACAGCATATTTGTACTTGAACTATTCTTTAAAAACGTAATAAATGCCACTAACATCCTAGTGTTAGCTTTTAACAAGATTAAAAACCTAACTAGCACATTCTTCTCTTTGTGAAACAATCCTTCATCGCAAACCAGAAGAATTTTGGATATGAGAAAGTAATGGAACCAGAGTTTTAGGAGTGATTTTATCCACTCTGAAAAAAAACAACCAACGTGACATACAGAAATGCACTTTTCCACAAGATACCAACGGCCCGCTAAGCTTCACAACTTTTAACTCCAGGCACTCAAAAATACCTATTTAAAATCTGCAATCAAGGTGTGTTCAAAAGGCCTTGACAACATTCAAAGGTACTCAGTGGTGACTACTAAGAAGCCTTTAGAATCACATCAAAACACACACTAAGTCTGTTTTAATGAATATCTATTTCCTGATGCCTCCCAAGAACTGTTAATGTAAATCTTCCTAAAATAGGTCTTGCATAATTGGGAAAACAGAGGGGATAGGTATTCCTTCTGAGGATGAGACAATATCTAGAATATCCCCTTACAGCTCAGTTAGGAGCTGAAGTTTGCTAAGAGTTTAAGAGCAAAAGCAGAACTCTGCGAAGTGATTTCACCCAAATTGTGCTGTGCTTAAAACACAATAAGCCTTTTTTTGTCAAAAGGCTAACACCTTCCCGTACAAACAGTCTTCCTTTCTAAATCAGGCAAGCATACAATTTTCCTTGTCACAACGACTTATAAATCAAGAACAGTCAAATCTTACAGAATTTCACTCCACTTAGGCTTTTGTTCTTACTGTAAATCAACAGTACTAACAGAATAGAGCCTTATGGTATGCATTTATACCACCTGTTTAACAAGGCATCTAAGTATGTATGAAACGATTTAATGCTGTAAGACACAATAAAGACTATCAGTACCCAGAAATATTTTTTTTTTATTAAGTCCATACTGAACAGAAGAAGAATAGGTTTAAAGTAGCTTTCTGCTATTTCATTTTTAAAGCATATACAGATTTGAATAGTAATTTTGACATGAAATCCATGCAGACAGACATGGATTTCACTAAAACCCCATCCAGATATGGTCTCCAACCTTAGGCTGGTATCCTAAGGAATAGTTGCTTCAGCAACAGGAAAGAATTTAAGACAGATTACCAGATAGCAAAGTAACATAAAAAAAGAACCATAGTTACCTGAGATAGGTATTGATTTTAGCACAGAAATGAATTTCTGAATAAGCTGTGAAAGAAATTTTCTCTCCCGATATGCCCTAAAATCAGACATATGACAAAAGCATTAATATTCCTTAAATGCAGACTAGAAGAATATTGTATCTTTCACTAATACAAAGTTAGCCGCTTTAAAATTCATATAATGGGAGCAGGTTGCTTTGAAACACACCTAAACTGTTTAGATGATAACTTTTCTGTCTGCACTCAGGCAGGCAGATTAGCAGAGTCTACATTTTTAGGCACAGAACTGATTAACAATCCATGCTTCCACTGAGTCAAAGACAAGACGTATGTGATCACCTACACCTTACCACATAGCAACACAAAAGTATTGGAACATTTAACTTGGGTGAGATACACCCAAATTTATTCAAATACTCGCAGAAGCTGTTTGTTTAAGAGCTAAACATTTGCTAAAGGTCATGAAAAAAGACATGTAACTACATGACTATTCTTTTATGGTTTTCATCCTATAGCTCTAAGATTTGGTATCACAAATTCACTAATCAAATAAAATATTAAGTTCTGTAACAGTATTTTGCATAAAGACTACCGGAAAACAAAACAGTTTCCAGAAGACCACATATGATCAATACTTATCTGCCATCTTCACGTTTTTTTCAAAAAACTTTTTTTTTCTACTGAAACAATTTATTTTAGCTGAAACACAATGAATGCATTAAGGGCTTTGGATTTAACAGGAAAAAAGGTGTAACATACTGCATTCTTGTCTCCTCATCCATTTTCCCATCATTTTTCTTAATTAGATTCCAGAATTTTCTTAGTTTTGGTGTCTTTTTCAGCTCTTGTTCCAGCCGTTTCTGAAATGTTAAAATGGTACTCAGTCACTAAGAATCCTTGTTTTCACAAGAGATAAAAATACAATCTAGTCTTCTTATTAAAAAATAAAAAATATATAACAAACTGAAATAAATAGCTGTCTCAGACTAATCTTACTAAGTATCACTACAAAACAAGAATGTAATACTGCTAGACAGAGTCTTGCTAGATGTCAGCTCCATTCCCCAGTCCCTGTGATCTCATGGCCTTGTCTACAAATTATAGCTTGAAGAAGCTACAAACAACAAAGTTTAGGTTTATGAAAAATTACACAATTAATAATTACAGTTACGTGGAAATTAGCAACAAACAAGAAAGAGAATTTTACCAAGCACACAAAAATATAATTCCATAGCAATGCAGGCAGCTTTAAATATCAGACTTCCATAACAGTATTTCATAAGTATTCACTTTACAGTACTTGGATAATGCCTAGAAGATTGCTTTGCCAGTTTACAGTGCTATGCTTACAGGTTGTAGAGCCATCCACATCGGTAAGGAAATGAGCTGCTGCACCTGACCTCTGATCAAATCCACTTCCTGTTAGAAAATTACAGACAGAAAACGTTTCATTTTAAAACTCTTATGCTTTCTGACATGCCTGTCTTACAAAACACATCAATGTACATTACCATCTGACAAAAATATGTACATTGTTGTATTAGATTTCACAATTCCCTAACAGGAAACTGCATACAATAGCCCTATGCAGTAACACGTAAAACTGTTGATGATTTTTGCATCTTAGGTTCTTTTCATGGATTCTGTCAGTTCCTAATACTTCAGCAGGGGCCCCATCCACATGAGTATTTTTAGCACAGAAACTGATGGGAACTGATGTTCCTTCTTCAGTCACTTCTTGTTCTTGAACTGAGCTTTCTTACTGTGCTTTCTCTATTCGTTTTTACTCTATTTTTTCTCTCCTGAAGCCCTTCATTTATGAAGTTTCTCCCACTTCATCTATACTCTTCCCATTATCTGAAACAACTAATTTGTCTATAGTTCATGTAACTTCAATTTGTTTCAAATGTTCCCTCTCCAACATCTCTGTCTGTGATCTGGATCTACAAAGTTTTCTTTCTTTCCTAAACTACTGAAAAATTTTCATTAACACCTTAAATATGTCTTCATGGACAAATACTCCATTCTCAGCATTCTGAAATTTCACACTTCAGTTCTCCTTACTTAAAACACTACTGCGACTATCTTGTTCTCCCTTTCACAAAGAAGGGCAGCTTCTAAAAATGCTTTTACAAGCGCTTTTTAAATCAAATAATACACTTTCTAAATTGTCTTGTCTGTGACACACGATTTTGTTCTTTACTTGTGCGGACCCTGACTTTGACTGATACATTCTGTGTGCAATGTAAGTAAAGAAAAAGCCTGGTAGCAAGAGAGGTAATAGAGTACTGTTTCATATAACAGATAATTGTAATTATGCTCCACACTTGCTACTTAGGATCTATAACTGTGTTTTAACTACAGATTGAGAACACAACCTAGCCCAATGCTTTCTTAAAACTAACTCAGAAGTGCAGATAGAAATATCTGAATCTGGTTTCAAAACTGAAAAACAGTCTTTCTCAATAGCTAATGGAAATAATTTTGTGCAATTTCCCAGTCAAACTAAAAAGAGCACAGTAGTAAGTCATCTGCTTTTAATTGTAAAGCACCTTTTCAAATATACTTATCTTTCAAGTACTATTTCAAATGTAAGTCTGAATACATGCCTTTAGATTGCAGTAAGTGCCAATCCTCCAATTTCAAGTCTGTTCTATGACTTTGTGTCAGAGAAAAGCAAACGTGATGAGAGAGATAAAGCAAGAGTCAAAAAGAGGGATAAAAGCCCTCCGGTACCATCTTTTTCTTAAATGGGAATTTTGCCTCATCTGTCTCATAAGACGAAATTGCTGAAACGAAACTGCTATTAACACAGAACAGCATAAACACACTGAAAGTATTACAGTTGCTTTTAGCATACCAAACTATTGAAGCAGTGATCAAGGAAAAGCAGCAGGACTGTCTGTTCATGCAGAGAGTATTCACTATCATTTTCAACCAGCGATGCCTCCAGTATGCATTTGAAAAAGAAGGGAAAGTGTTCTGGCTTTTTTTTGAATGTCTAGGAATAGAAAAGGAAGTTGATTTTGAGTCAGGTTGATATAAATAATTTCAATCTTCATTCACATAACATAGCTTAAGTTCTCTAAATCTTTTTAAGTCTATAAAACGAAGGATTAGTTTTTCTCTTTTTCATTTATTCTGACCAGGCTGCACAAGCAAAACAGATTAACATAGGACAAAACAAACAAGAAGAACAAGTGGAGTAGATTATGTTGGGGGAATGTTCAATTGGTGATCACACAGAATTATGGTAAAATGACACAGGTTAGAAGAGAACTTGTAGATTTTGGCCAAAATTATGGCAGCTCTTTAGTGATCTGGAAAAAATGAGCAGGTAAAAACCACCAGAGATTAATGACAGTTGTGGAACTCCCATTCAGCTACCTCAGCAGGAAAAAGATAAACCAAATAATCATTGAGATAAAATGGTTTCTTTAACAAAGGCAGCTATGTACTAAATAACAAATTTAACTAAGCTGCTTGAAAAGTAACAAGCACCTGTCATTTTGCATCTAGTACGTATGCCAGAACAAAAAAAGACACGGGCATCATATGAGCAAGTTATTAATCCTTTGAGCTCTGCCAGCACTGAAGTAATGGCACTACTATCAGAGTAAGTGTGCTTCTGAAATAATGCTTGCATAGAATTTCTAACTAGGCTCACATTGTTGAGATGGCCTGCGAGAACTGGACAGTTTGTAGAAACACTAATCATTTCTAAACCCATTCTTACAAAAAAAAACCACATTACACACAAAAGCAGAACAAGAGATTATCTTAGTATAAATCTTCATGCAAGAAAGCTACAAAACCATATTCACAGGTTTTAAGCAATACTCTACTGGATAACGTTAGACTTCCAGTGGTGCCTCCTTATGTCCACAGATATAAAGCTCCTTCTTTCTTTCAGTATCAGAGCAGGAACTTCCCTGCAAATGCCTGACTTTTGTCAAGTGCCAAAAAGGCAAATTATGATGATGGTGATGTAAAGGCATCACACAACAAAACAAAGGACTCGCACACCAGGAGGAATCAGGTGATTTTTTTCATCCATCCATTACTTTCTCCGAAAAGAACACACACTTTAAACCACCATATGAGACATTCCAGCTGAGGTACCATTTACTTTTAACACTACAAGCTTTGCTACCTCCTGTCAGTATAAGTGAGCACACCGCAAAAGCTGCAACTTGCGGATCAAAGTCAATTCTAGCTGTAATTGAAATTGGTTACCTCCCACGCAGGCACATTCTCTCGAAACTTCTCATTCACCATACAGCAGATTGACATTAAATATGCCTTACTGGACACCTCTGGAGAATAATTCATCCATAGGTAATTTTCAAGGTACTGGCTGCAAAGAGACAAAGAATATTTCATTAGTTGCTGCCACCCACATAATCTGTCACTCATTTAAAAGAGCAGTTACCCACAGGGGCTTTTTTCCTCCTTCTCCTTAAAGCCATCTTTATAGTTTGTGAGTAGTTTCTGAAGTCACCTCTCATCTAGGTCACTGCAGTAAAACTTGTTAGACTTCATAACTGCTACAATAGACAGATGAGTTTCTTTTCAGGAAGACACATGCACCAGAGGGTTTTCAAGCGTGACAACTAGCCACAGCTCAATACAAAGTCATAACACGAATTCATGTTGATTTTCCAAAAGGAGAACAAAAAAGAAAAAAATTCACTTGTCTAAAGAATGTCACATGCAGCATTTCTTGGTATAAGATGCAAAGGACAACTACTGTGTAACAGTATATACTGTATAACAGTAGTTGTATTATTAAATACCCCTTTTTGTAAAAAATTAGCAATTATCTAGAGAGATTTTTATGCTTCTAATCATATAAAGGCAATAAAAATATTACATTACTGTGCAACTAAAATTAAACACTGAATATTAGGGGAGTGATTAACTGTTTTCAAGAAGGTTAAAAAAAAAATTACTGGACACTGGAAAATAGCAGCTTCCCAGTAACGAGCATTTCTTCTTCATTAATATGGCACATTCCTTATAGAAGAAAGTTAAAATTAGATCTTAGAGATGAGGGGTTATTTGGACAAACAGCTGTCTGCCTCCTCTAACCTCCTCTTGAAGCTATGCAGGGTAGTTACTCCTGAGGAGGCAATCCTTAAATCATCATTCTTAACAGCATGCTTGCACCTTGTGCTACTTTAACAACCACCAGAAGAAAGTGGCAAGTCTTGCTGCTTCCTAAAGAAGCTGCTTATCCATTCCTTCCTCTCAATGCCTGCTCTAACATTCACTTGGCCCCTCATGAGTCAACTGAGTTTTACCTATTTACTTTTTTCCACAGCTTACTTTTCTGATGTCTTGCAGTAAGGTACTTCAATAGTTTCAGATAAGACAAGTACCATAGATGGTGGGGAAAAAAGGTAGAGAGAACTTGTATGTAACCAGGAGCAAAAGGCTCAATAATGGTCAGACAGGGATTTACACTTTCTCGGAGCTCAGCCAGAATGCATAGCTTCAGAAGGTGCTGAGACAACTTCATAGGCATATACAAGATTAAATACGTACTGCTTCCCAAGAGTTTGGATCTGCCAACAGGAGGGGGGAAATCCCCAAAAAATCCACAGAACGCTATCCATCATTTCACCCAGGAATGACAATATCTTTTAGTAAAACTACTATTATGCGCCCAGGTGAGGACAAATGTACGAGAGCAATAATGAAGGACAGGAAAATCTCATGTGTGTGAAGACAGGAGAGCTTGATGGACAGATGAATGGAGTGGTGGGAAGAAAGGAGAGAAAATGACTTACAGGACAAATGGCAGTAGATGGGGCTATAGACCAGAAAGTACTAAAGTTACATTACAGGCTGGTAACATTAAGAATGTTCACAGAAAGGACAGGAACCTCTAACTCCATGGTCTTGCTGGCATACAAATTCCAGGAGTCATGCTACCAGCATGCCATTTGTTAGTGTCAAACTCCAAAACCATAGCTGATGTTTTCTCTTCCGCCTTTTCTAACAAAGAAGCAGTAAACAGAGGGAAGTTTGTCCTACTTCTCTAGTTAGTGCTACTACTTATGTATTTCAGCCTTTTGAAACAAAGAATCTCTCTCAACCAAAATCCACCTCATTCTGTCTGCTCGTAAGATTTGAGAGATAAAAGAGCCAAAAAGAACACTAAATATTGTGGTTTTAAATATCTTAATATTGCAAGTATTTATCTTACGTCATTTTATCCATGCTTTGTAAGTTCTTCCAGAAAGTCTGAAGTAGCTATAAGGATCTTCTACACAGATTTCCATTTCTTTTCAAGTGAAGAAAATGTTAGTGATGCTGCTGCTGCACAATTCATTTTTACAGATAGAGTAAGAGACTTAATCCAAAAACTTCCTCTGACTTCAGTGAGTTCTGATTTAAGGCTTAATGACACATTCCAAATTATAGATCCAAGTTTTTCACCCATTTCATTCATACTCTCTTCTTTAGTGCTTCACTTACACTAATTCAGAATCATAAACCAAGATACTCTGGTATGTTACTTATGCTTATGAAATTATTTCCTCCTTAAACTAAGCTCTCCTCACTTAATTTTCCTAGGTACAGAATTCAAAGTTTTAGTAAGTAGGAACAAAAGAGTACACTACCTTCAAACTGACTTACTGCCCTGCATTTGCTTCTCATCTTTACAGGCTCCTGTGAAAAAATAACTTAAATTTTCACTCCAATTAGCTTACCTGAATTCAAGAAGCATTATCTTCCTAATAGCAAATCTAAAAAGGAAAAAGTAATCAATTAACACAGGAAAGAAAGCCTCCCATATACATCTTAGCTCCATGGAAAACGGCTATATTTTCCCTTATTTCGTTATATAATGAAATCTGCAGAAACATCCAGGAATCATTTCTGCCCCACTATTTGCATGCAAGAGCAACCACTTGAATGCAGAAGCAGCTGCTGTAACATTGTGGAAGCTAAAGTTCCTGCAGGCTCATTAAGCAATCAAATTCACATTAAAAAAAAAAATCCATCTACAACTATATATTTAATCAGTTCGTAACGGTATCTTTTCTTACATGACTGGAAATGGAAGCTTGCTCTGATTGTGTATAGCTACTCTTAGATCCTGTATAGCAACTCTTAGATTACTTTCACAAAGAAATAATAAACAAAATTTTCTCCAGAGCTCAAAATTCCCCTGAAAAGCTCCAAACAGCTACAGTCAAAACCCTTTTCTGTACACACAGCTGTAGAATGCAGTTTATCCTGAACTCTTTCTGTCCCCCACCTAACATTACAATTGATTGAAATGAGACTTGCCCTTTATAAACCTAGTAACGATAATTAGGTAAAGAGCAAAAAGCTAGAGGTAGCACATTCCTCAATTGATTTCTTTTTCTTTACATACCTCAGTGACAAAAGAAGGGACCAGCCTTCTATAACCATCACATAACAAAAACAACATAAAGCACAACAGACTACCAGATCAAGGAACCAAACAATACTATGTCAAATCATCACATTTAAGGATTATGAGCTCATGAACCCACTTTTTGCCATATTCAGACTTTGAAATACCATAATGATTAAATTACTCAAAAGCGTTTGAGTCATTTAATCTGCTTTCAACATGTTAATGCACTTTAAAATATTCTACGAAACATTAGAAACCACTTCAATACAGATAATGTTGGAATGCTTGTCCGTAAGTGAAAGTGACTAGTGTACTTACTTTGATCTGACAATTTCTTTCATATATACATCTTCAATAACCTATGGGAGAGAATATTTAAAAAACAATGGTTAAGAATTTTATATACCTCATAAAGTCATTAAAAATGCACTAAGACATCTTATGCACTCAAAGTTACTCTGAATTAGTTACTCTCTGCTTAGTGCTATTTCATCAACAAAGTCCTAACAACTATGTCTCAGCTCTGAAGAGTCCAAAAGCTTCACAGACATACATTTTCACAAAGAAAGTGAATCAATTTAGGGGAATAACTTCAAGTTATTCTGAAGGAACAACCTACATCTCACCAAGACTTTATATAAAAGTCAAAGAAATATGCAAACTTTTTTATTGTGAATCTTTGGCTTACTGTTGAATTTAAAGACCAGTCTTCACGAGTCAAGTCTGCATCAACTCAGTCATCTGTTGTCACTGTTTCTTTTAACTGACATTTAACCCAATTCCAGAACATTTTTCCAACAGGCACGAAAGAATCTTCACTATCTGTTGCAACAGGCACACTTTGACATCACATGACACAGAGATGCAATTCAGCTGCTTATGAACATCCTACTTCTAACAATCACAGACATATACTATCACAAATACTACAAAGAGAGAGAGTAAACTGAGGCTGGAAAGGGAGATTTAGCCAAATACCCACAAAGGAAAGAAGTCCAACATTTAAGAGCTCCGCACGACAGAAAACCAACACAAAACCAAACACATGATGTCAAATTTTAAACATTCAAAACACGCATACCCACCAGAACAGCACTAAAGTTGTCTGATCAAAGCTCTCTGAAGAAGCTTTTAAAAGAAGTATACAGTTCAGTAATACCTGCATCTTTCATCCTTCTTTGAACATCCTCAAACAACTTTTAACCTCAAAGGAGGTGCTCAAAAAATCTTTTACTCTCCTAAGTTCTTGTTCAAAATAAACTGAACAAATAGCACACACAAGAACTGCACTGCTATAGCACACCTTCCTAACAGTGTCTACATTTATAAACTATAAATACATAACAAATTACAGTGTGTTAAGGAACTCTTGACCTTCCAAGCAGTCTCCTATACTCTTATACAAAACAAACCCCACTGGAGGTTGGCACATCAGAAAAGGGTTGATCCTCATTCTTTTATACCCCAACACAATTCCAGTAAAAGTATTTACCTTTGAATCAAAAGACAATTTTTTCTTCACATGTGGAGCCCAGTATTTATTTGCTAACTGTATGGGGGAAAAAATTTTTAAAAGGTTAAATATATGCATTTTCAGTTAAATACATAAATTTTCAGTTGTAGTGAATACAATAACTCTGTAACACCTCCCACCCCCAAACTTTATTTCACTAGTACCTTACTTAATTTCAGCTTATGGTAACTACAAGTAACAAAACGATGTTTTCCAACAGCAATGCTTTTCAACTATTTAAGGTTTTATGCCTAAACTTTTTCCAATAGAGGTGCAATTCTCTAAGAATTTCAGCTCCATAGACTGCTACATAATTTTTTTTTCTTAAGTTACTCCTAGCAAATTCCTCAAAAACGTAACATGATCTTTCAGGGACTGCAAACTCCAGATTGTAAATGATTACGCTCCCGTGGAGGAATTTCACAAAGAACTACAGACTGCATATAAAGGTCTAATACTTCAAGGCTACTCGCTGTAGCCATCACTTCACCAAAACTCCTGAGTTACGGTGGCAAGAACTTCCTAACTGACTTTATTCAACCTTCTTTATGCTGTAGAAGAGGAAGGAAAGCAGCATTTCCAGCAAAAATAATGAACACTTGTATAAAACCACTTAAAATGTTCAGCTACAAGAAACTGTCAGCAACGTTTCCCATATTATAACAGATCTGATTTATTCTGTACTGCTTCTCTTGTAAATCTCTCTAGTCTGGAAACGTTGGGGGCGTATACCCTTTCATACGTAATACAAGCGTTAAACCCTTCTTCACGTACGACAAAACAAGACCCCCTCCTCAACAGCCCCGGACTGCAAAGACCATTTAAACTCCGAACGGCCTTTCCAG